AAAAGCTAAAGGGATTTCTTCTCCCGCACCGGGAAGGTGGACATGCCTGCCGAGGGAGAGAGGCCAAGAAATGTGCTCTCTGGAGGCAAGGTTGTTTAAAGCTTCCCAGGAGCTCTCTGACCTGGAATAATCTTTCCCTTCCCTAAATTGCTTAGTCCTAGGTGGAAGCCGAGCACAGGTAGCTGGCTCCTTGGAAACTGAGAAGATCTGAAAACACAGGAAGAACCCTTTGACTTTAGAAGGACTTGTTTTCCTCGTGGCCTCAGGCTCTATGGGGTGGTCTGGTGATTTCTTGGGATCACTCTCACCTGGCGTAATCCTGCATTTCTAGCGGCGCCCAAGTCTGGCAAGTGAAGAGGACCACTTGCTTTGCTTGGCTGGGTTTGGAGGACCAACTGAACAGACAGGTTAGGGTTCAGCCACACTGTACAATCTTCTCTCACCCAAACCAGGGAAGAGTGAAGATTCCATTCTGTTATGACAGCTCAGGCAATGGGCTTTCCCGAGGACAAATCTAAATGCAAAGGGTGCCTGCCAACTGTAGTGCCTAAATGAAGGAATCCAGGAATAGTGAACCTCTTAATAAAATGCTCAGGTGAAGAGCTTTATTCCTAAGAAATCATCATGTGCCCTGGCTGGTGTAGTTCAGTGGATTGAGCGCGGGCTGCGAACCAAAGTGTCATAGGTTCAATTCCCAGTCAGGGCACATGCCTAGGTTGCAGGCCACGGCCCCCAGCAACCTCACATTGATGTTTCTCTCTCTCTCTTTCTCCCTCCCTTCCCTCTCTAAAAATAAATAAATAAAATATTTTTAAAAAGATAAATCACCATGTAATATGTTATTTTGGTAAAATAATATCCTGCCTAAGCCATGGCGATTAATTCTGAGTATGCATCAGACTCGTCTAGGGAAGGTTCGAGTGCCCTCCCAGTACCGCAGATAATCCTACTCTCTGGGCAATCTGTACACCACTTTATCCAGGCACGGGTCATTTGCAGGGGTGGTGTCCTAGGTTGTCATTTCCTGGTCAAAAATGGGGGAACAAGCAAGGTCATGATCGGAGACCCATCGTCCACCTGTACCAGTCACATCAGAAGATGCCATGGAGGACAGAAGAGCCCTCTCCACTGGACCATTTGCAGGCACGGCCATGACCCTGCCATTTACCTGGGGAGGGCAGTGCTGGGGAGAGGAAATGGCAGGGGGAGAGTGTGGCCCCTCAGCCACCCATCCTCTCACCCTGTGGCTCCTGACACCAAAATGGGAGGCATCATAGTACAGAGAAAAAAAGCCCTGGCTCTGGAGCCAAGCTGTCTAGGTTTAAATCTTGGCTCAGCTTTACCAGCTCTGTGACCTTAGGCTCAGTTTACTCATCTGTATAAGGGGACAGTAATTTCCACGTCATAAAATCATTCAGGGAATTAAACGAGTACATATGTCTGTATACATATATATTTGTGTACATATGTATGACTTGTGCCTGGCAACCAATAAGCACTTTGTATTTGTATTACATTTATTACTATTAGGCTTTCCACGGCCATCTCTCTCTCTCACCAAGACCCAACCACGTCCTGTCTCTTCAAGGGCTACATTAGGTTCCGGAGCTCATCGACACCAGTTTCACATTTCTGTTGCATCTTTGGGGGAGAGAACAAGCAGCTCTTGCTAAGTAAACTCATCTTGATCAGAATCTGACTCTCTAGTTACCCACTAACGACTTCTTCATTTGAAAGATGAGGTTATTACACACCTGGCTGTTAGTTGGCTGGGCCAGGTTCCTGTTTACCATCATAATGATGCTATTTCTATATTATATAGCTTTTTTCAATAAAAATAATTCATTCTTTTTTGTCTTAAGACAACTGTATCAAAGTATATTTGCATACAATGAAATGAGCCCATTTTAAGTGTATAGTTTAATGACTCTTGGTAAATGTGTGCACCCTGGTAACCACCCCCCAATCCAGACATGAAACTTTTCTCTCGGCCCCCATAGTTCCTTTCTGCTTCCCTGTCAGTCCCCACCCACCCGCCAGCCCAAGCGCCACTGCTCTGCCTTCTTTCCCTATATATTAGAGTTGCCTTCTCTAGAAGTGTCATATGAATAGAATCGGACTATATGAAGTGGTCTGTGTTTGGTTTCTTTTAGCTCAGCATACGCTTTTGAGATTCATTCGTTTTGTTGCCTATTATCAATAACTTGTTCCCTTTTTCAAAAAAAGAGTCTATTGATTTATTTTTAGAAAGAGGGGAAGGGAAGGAGAAAGAGAGGGAGAGAAACATCGGTCAGTTGACTCCTGCAGGTGCCTTGACCAGGAATTGAACCAATATCCTTTTGCTTCTTGGAAAGACACCCAGCCAGCTGAGCCACACCAGTCAGAGCTAGCTTGTTCCCTTTCAATGCTGGGTAATATGGATATATTATAATTTGTATGGCTATATCACCATTTATTTATTCATTCACTTTTGATGGATATTTGGGTTGTCTCCAATTTTTGGCTAGCATGAATAAAGTTGTTGTGGACATTCATATGCAAATCATCATGTGGATGTACTTTTCTTGGGTAAATAACTAGTAATGAAATTGCTGTGTCATCTTCTAAGCATATACTTACCTTTATAAGGAACCACTAAGCTGTTTTCCAAACTGGCTGTAGATTCTTACATTCCCATGAGCAATGTATGAGAGTCCACAGTCTCCTGCATCCTCTCCAACAGTTGGCACCGCCCATCATTTTTATTTTAGCCGTTCTAGTAGGTATGTGATGTTGTGTAATTGAGATTTTAATTTTTATTTCCCTGGTGACTAACGATACTGAACATCTTTTTGCGTGCTAAATGGCCTTTCATATATATTTGTATTGTGCTTGCTAAAACCTTTGCATATTTTAAAGATTGAGTTGCTCATATCATTATTATTGAGCTGCAGAGTTCTTTAGATATTCTGGATATAAGTTCTTTGGCAAATATACATATTATGAATATTTTTTCCTTGCCCATTGCCTCCTTAATAGCATCTTTTAAAGAGCAGAAGTTTTAAATTTTGATAGGGTTTAGTTTAGCTTTTTGTGTGTATGTGGTTTATTCTTTTTGTGTCTCTTCTAAGAAATTTTTATCTAGGCCAAGGTTGCAAAATTTTTCTCCTCTATTTTCTTTTAGAGGATTTATAGTTTTGGCTTTTATACTTATAGTTTGGCTCTTACATTAAGTGTCTGATCCATTTTTGGATAAGTGTTGAGTATAGCGTAAGATAAATGTTGATGCATATGTAGTGTGAGGGAAGGACTTCAATGGCACAAGGAAACAAGAAAAGGCTCTTCTTTCCTTATTTAATTTACCTTGACACCTTAATCAAAAATCACTTGACCATACATGTAAAGTCCTATTTCTGGACTCTTTCTTGTATTCCCTCCACTCCCACTTCCCCTACAAACATGCTCTATTTGTATCACTATTTGTATTTCATGATGATGATAATGATGATGGAATCATCTGGGCAGCTACAGTTTCTTTCAGAAGTTGTCAAAAATCCTATACTGTGAGCAGCTTCCCTGGTTTGGGGCCTTGTCCTTCTGGCAGGGAGAATAGTGGTGAGTCTCCAAATTTGGGGGAGTCTCCAAACTTCTGTTTGATCCCAACATGGGGGAAGGATAGCCATGTCAGTGGGCGTCCGGCTGGGGAGATGCTAGTGGGAATTGTTTTGTCAGTGGGCACATTTGCCCCCTCCCTCCCCCTACCGCCAACTTCCCTCTGCCCCCACCCCCACCACCGGCCCCAGCCACCTGCCTGAGGACACAGCTAGCTCAGTGACTGGGCGGGGCAGGGCTGGAGTCTTGCGCTCTCTCAGAGGCCATTGCCCTCTCTGGTTTCTCATTAACAAGAAAACAACTTTCCCCCAGGGTTTTCCTTCCCTCAGGTGAAACAAAGCTTCCTTCAGCCATCACCTTTCACTTGACTGCAGGGCTCAGGAGGAAGCTCAGCCCCTCCCCTCTCTAGCTGAGTAGTAATCATGGGCCCTCCGAACTTTGTCCCCTGCCAGCATCAGCAGTACTCAGCTTGAGTATTGCTCAAGTTCTCTACTCAGTTCATACTCTCGACTTGAGCATGAACGTTTCAGCTCCCAGCACCAGTTTTCAGTTTGGTACAGATTGGATTGTAGCTGGTCCATTTAAAAAATATGTGTGAGGTTGGGACCTTCTCTGTATTTGGATATTTTTGCTCATTCTGATGGGTATAGGCTGGAAGGGACCTTGTAAATGTGTATTTAAGCTATCCCCTTTCCCAGAAGTGTGATATATTTTTAACTTATTTCTTAACTTCCTTGAACATTCTATTTTCAATGTGATCTTAGGTCAGCTGAGAGCATCATGTGAGTGGGGTTTGTTTTTTTTTCCCAGTTGGACGATTCTTTAATCCCATATTCAATAGGAAGTTCAATGTCCTTTCCAATATGTTTGCCGATTCCTGGGAAGTTGATTGACCCTGAGTCATTTCTGGCCTGAGTTCAAGTTCCAGCTCCCTGAGCACTCTTGGTCTCACCAATAGCTCACCTCCTGGAGCTCTCTTCTCTTCTGTATTCCATAACTCAGCTTCTATGCTACGATTCTTTGCCTGGCAACTGCCCCTCAAAACATCCCACAGGAATTTTTTAAAAAATGACCAACATGAAAGGTTTGAGGTCGTGGGGAGGAGGTAGGAGTTATGCAGAACCATCCATGCTTCTGAAGGTCCTGGGTCCTTTCTGCTTAGAATCCCTCTCCCAGGTCACTTCTGTTTATTCTGAGCATGATGACAATAATATTAATAATCATCATAATAAAGACAAATAGAATTTACTGTGTTTTAGGCACTTCTAAAACACTTTACATATAGTAATCCTTTAATCTTCTCCACAATCCTGTGAGGAATCTATTACAGTTAGCCACATTTTGCAGATGAAAAACTTAATCATATCTAATTTGTTCCACTTAAAAATGAGCCGTTAGAATGGGAAGGAGCTTTGAAATTTTGTTTATTTCTTCTTTCTCTCCACTAGTTTCTGGGAAGTCAACTGAGCACCACGGAGATTCATTCCCCAAAGACAGGAGTGATGTCAGTTCGCCTGAAAGGCAAAAACAGTGAAGTTTTAGATAACCGTTAGATGTCAGCTAGGGTCACCCTACTTGCAAGGCTGAAGATAATCTGAAGTCCCTATTCTGTAACTTGTAGAAATCAATGACCATCCCCAGACATTGGCAAATGTTTGGGAAACCTGCCTGCTCATGGCCGCCTCTGTCCTAAGATCATGTCTCTGCCGAGTAGGCTTAAATGACGGGCCATCACACAACAACACGAAGACCCCGACACGAACCCGGCTACTCTCCTCCGCTCCCAGCTCCCCTGCACACACGCTGTTCATTTGGGGAGCAGAGGATGCTGGGAGCTTGGAGAGATGGCACTTATGTCAAAGTAGTACTCCCAACTCAGTTTAAATTAAATACTAGAGATCTTCTCAAAAGGCTGTTCTGATATCCCACCACTGGGGATTTGACTGTATCACTGTCCTTGACTTTCACTTTTATTTATTTATTTGTTTATTTTTAGAGAGAGTAGAAGGGAGGGAGAACGGGAGGGAGAGAAACATCAATGTGTGGGAGAAACATCAATCAATTGCCTCTCGAGAGCCCCCAGTCAGGGACCTGATCCGCAACCCAGGCATGTGCACTGACCAGAAATCGAACAGGTGACACTTCGGTGTGTGGAAGGACACCCAGGCCACTGAGCCACACTGCTCAGAGCACTTTCTTTCTATCTTGCTTCCATTTTCTCCTCTTAGGAGTCTAAAACAATCCCTTTCATTCTCATGAAGCCATTGAACTCCCTCTTAACACTTCATGACCAGGTATTACAACCTGAGAACCAACTTCATTTATCTAAGTGGATGATGAACTATTTTTTGAATCAAAGAGTACTTCCATCCTAAGATAAATTTGGAGGTCATTAAAAAAATCTATACAAGCCCTGACTGGTGCAGCTCATTAGATTGAGTGCCGGCCTGGGAACCAAAAAAGGTTGCTGGTTCGATTCCCAGTCAGGGCACATGCCTGGGTTGCAGGCCAGGTCCCCAGTTAGGGGCATGCGAGAGGCAACCGATCGATGTATCTCTCTCACATTGATGTTTCTCTCCCTCCTTTTTCCCCTCCCTCTTCCTTTCTCTAAAAAATAAATAAATAAAATATTTAAGAAAATCTATATAAGGCTTTCCCCGTATGTTACAGTAAAAGAAAGACTTGATAACTTTGGGCCGAGGTGTAACTCCTGAGTCACAGTGTGGCTTCCTTTGCCCTGCTCCAGGCAGCCGTACCCACAGGCAAGAGAGGTGGCTTAGGTTCTGTTGTTGGGGGCACACCCACTGTGCTCTGATCAGGTCCGTATAGTGACTAGACCTTGCACAGGTGGTCTAAGTGTGAGGAGAGGGCAGTGGGAGCATTTCTAGAACTTATACAACTTTCGATTTCCTGTATTATAAGGCTGAAGTGTTATGTACTGTGCATAACAATATAATATAATGCAATGCACTGTAATATGTTTGTGAATATATATTAGTGTTCTGAAAATAGACATAATTAGAAGAGCTATTTTAATGAGACTGAAGGAAAAGCCTATAAAAGTTTTATGTCCATTCACTATTCACTGTATTATATAGGCTGTATGTAGAAACACTCTTCAGCACATTGTATAGGAAGGAAAGATTTGGATCATTTTAAAGTGACATTGGAAAATTGGATTAGCCATTTGGAAATAAATAAACTTGGAGTCACTTTGCACTTAATGGAAGAATATATTGATGAATATTTATACAATCTTGAAGTGAGAAATTCTAATCATGATATTAAAGACACTAAAATAGCTTGACAGCTGAATCAAAGCAATGTTCCGGGTCTTAAGGAGCCTGAAGGGAATGAGCCCCACCTGGGGATGGGAACAATCTGAAAGCTGATGGCCGCAGGACCAGATCAAGGTCAAGTTCAAGTAGAAGACAGTCAAGATAAAATTTAGACCCTAGCAGTTCAAGACTTCTGCTCGTGCAAGTGCACACTCCCAGCCCACACACTTGCAGACCGCTGAAAGGCTGAACACGGGGCAACAACATCTGTTCTTAAGTCCCAGAGGCGGAATGGAAAAGGCACCCAAAGACACAAAGAGGGGCTTAAAGGAGGAACTACTCACCTCAGGGGAGAGTCAAACAGAAGACTTGGAGGTAACACCCGAGGAAGTGGCGGGAGCTTTCAGGTAACACATTTGCCTGGTACTTTTCACAGGAAAAAAAAAATTAGAAAGCATGTGACTTCTGTGGAAAAAAATAGATAAAAGATGTAGTAAATAAATCATCTGAGATAAAACAAGGAAGCTAGGAGAGTTAAGAAAAGAGAGCGAAGACCAAACAGCAATGAACAAATTCATATCCTAGAAACAGCAACCAGAGCCTAATGCATGCTATGGCCAATTTAATGTGTGATGTGAAGAGTAGCACAAAAAATTCACATAAACTTCAGATAAAAAGCAATTAGAAGAAGGGGGCGAGGCAGTGAGGAGCCAGCATATCCTTTTGACTGATGCTGTTGGTTGTTGACCCATAGGTCGATCCCAACCCCCTTCTCCCTTGTTATTTGTATGGGATGAAAAAACAAAATGCCCGCTATTTCAACTCCCTCAGAAAGATACATATCATTGGACTTGAAAACTTGTTGAAACTACTTTCAATAAGAAAAGCAAATTGCGAAACTGCACAGAAAAAAAAATCATTGTTTGTGTGTTGTGGGTGAATATGTACCCCACCTCAAATATTAACGCCCTAATTCCTGATATTTCAGGGTGTGACTTCATCTGAAAATAAGGTCTCTAATAAAGTGACTAGGGTTAAATGAGGTCATTAGGTTGGACTCTAATCCAATATGACTAGTGTCTTTATAAGAAAAGGTAATTGGGACACGGACACACACAGGGAGGCCATGGGAAACAGGCAGAAGACAGCCAGCTGCAACGCAGGGAGAGGGGCATCCGGAGAAACTAACCCTGCTGACGCCTTGACCTGAGACTCCTAGCCTCTGGAATTGCGAGGAAATAAATTTCTGTTTAAATCACCTACTGGTGTGGTGGCTCTGACTGGCGTGGTTCAGTGGGCCGGGCATCGTCCCACAAAACAAAATGTCACCGGTTTGATTCCCAGTCAGGGCACATGCCTGGGTTGCGGGCCAGGCCGCCCGATAGGCAGCCGATCGATGTTTCTTTCCCTCTCTCTCTCCTTCCCTTCCTCTCTCTCTAAAAATAAATAAATAAAACCTTTAAAAAATCACCTAGTCTGCGCTACTTTGCTATGGCAGACCCTGCAAACTAACACAGTGTGTGTATGCAATAAAACTGAAAAGATCAATCAAACTCTTGCTGAGTTTACTTCTGGGGTGCTTCCATAAGGGACTTTTAATTATATGTTTTATTTTATACATTCTTTTTTTTTAAAGATTTTTTAAAATTTATTTTTAGAGAGGGAAGGGAGGGAGAGAGAGAGAAACATCAATGTGTGGTTGCTGGGGGTATGGCCTGCAACTCAGGCATGTGCCCTGACTGGGAATCAAACCTGCGCTGCTTTGGTTCGCAGCCCGTGCTCAATCAACTGAGCTATGCCAGACAGAGCTATTTTATACATTCTTATTTAAACATATTAACTAAGTACAATTTTTTCCTTAATGAGAAAATAAGAAATTTTTAAAAATTAGGTAGGACAAGAGAAAAAAAAAGCAAAGTACATACTAACCGACACATCTCTGGGTATGGTCCCAAATTTGCCTCTGAGCTGTCAATAATGCCACCACTACAACTCTGTCTCATTGGTCAGCGTTCACCACAACCATCCTCGAGATAAAGCCCGGATCAGTGGTTCAGATGAACACACCTAGTGCTGATAGCGGTACCCTCGCAGAGGTTCCACTAGTCCTCACAAAGGCAACAATGCCAGCAAAATACGGCTGGTTCAGTAATGGCTGTTTTTCCACCAGCCCTCGGCACCACAGGAAGTGCGAGCAAAGGCAACTTTATGGGGCCAGGATCAAACCGGGCGCTCCAATTCGCCACTCAGCTCACCTGCCTGCTTTACTTGTTTACACACGTGTCTGTTCTCTGCGAATGTTTGAATTTGTGACCCCAGTGTAAACAGGCAGAGTGTGGATGGAGGCGGGCCTTGGGGAGTGAGACCCTCTTCTTCCTTCTCCCCCTCACCTGTGCTCTGAACAAAACAAAAGGGGTGCTGCCTAAGACCAGCTGGGGAAAAACTGTTCCATCGGCCTAGTAGTTTGGCCTGGGGGCCAGATTGGGGGTGGGAGGTGTTATTGTGTGGTCTTTTTCCCCCTAACATAGACTGAGCACTTACTATTTGTGAGTCAGTTATGTTAAGTGAATTTCATTTATTATTTCATTTAAGATTACAACAACCCTGTGAGGAAGATTTTATTGTAGTCTCCATTTTAATACACAGGGCAGCTGAGCCTGAAAGGGGTTAAGAAAGTTGGTTAAATCCCTCAGCTAGTCGAGGTAGGAGCAGGATTTGAACCTGTGTTGTCTGGCTCTACGCCAATGTTCTCTCCATCACTACACCTTGTATAAGGAGGCCTGACATCAAGGGCTGGGGTGGCCACGTGCTTAGATGAATGATGACCCTTTCTGTTTCTGAGCCTTATTTTCCTCCTTGGAAGAGAGAGGGGCTTCACCTCAGTGCCCTCTGAAGAAAGGCCTTCTAGCTTAGCCATGCCAGACTGGAGCCCAAACCATCATTATGGTGAATGGTCTGGATGGACGACCTTACCAACAGATGTGGCCTTGACTTCGGCACAGGATTTGGCTTAACCGCAAGAAGGCACCTATTTCCAGAGGGTAGAAGTTGTTGCCAGGGAAAATGTGGCACCTTCTCTGCAAGATCTGCCCAGGAGGATGACCCACCTGTGGCCAGGCTGTGCTGCAAGATCCTGGGGCACTTTTAGGACCCTGCCTGCCTCCCGTTCCCTTCCCATCCCTACTTTTCTGTCTACTCTCTCATTGCTGTCTTATCACTGTGCTCCACCTGGTGACAGCTGATGTGAAAATACCTGCAACCACAGGTACTGGGACCAGTGAATCTATGACGAGTAGAAGTCCTATTCCAGGGCCGTTTTCCAAAGCTACTTTCCATCCAAGACCCGACTGTCATCCTTACTCCACCTGCTGCTTTCCTTAGCCTAGTTAGCGCTATGGTACCATGCTTTCTCTCTCTCTCTCTGCCTTTTAAGAGATTTTATTTATTTACTTTTAGAGAAAGGGGAAAGGAGAGAGAAGGAGAGGGAGAGAAACATCAGAGTGCAAGAGAGAGATATCAGTTGCCTCTCACATGCCCCCAACCAGGGACCTGGCCTACAAACAAAGAATGTGCCCTGACTGAGAATCGAACCATCGACCTTTCAGTTTAAAGGCTGGCATTCAATCCACTGAGCCATGCCCTACCATACTTTTTCTAAAATCTACTTTGTAACAGAGCACTCCAGGGCAGGCCTCCCTTGCAGAAACAGCTGTCGTTAATTTTCTTTCCCCAGCATCACTTCCACCTGCAACTTCTCTCCAACTACCATGTCAAAAACTACCTGGGGAGGTAACAGTTAAGGAGACTGCAGTTCATGTTCCCTAAATCCGGAGATCTGTGTGCAGCGTTTTAGGACAAGAGAAGTCCCAGAGACGAGACAAGGAGAGTGGTGCACATTCATTTTAAGCCCACGCTGGAGTCAGAAGAGTTGAGACATTGGAGAAACCCACAGGGCAGAGGTCACTGGACTTCCCATGCCCAGGGTCCACCTTAATGGGCTCCCTCAGTGTTCTGATGGGAAACTAAGGCCTGAAGAAGGGAAGAGACCTGTGAATCACTGACAACCCTGGGTTCCCGAATATTATTTCAAGGTCATTTTCACTGCAGCCCTGATCACATTTGAAAGCTGCCTCCTCCAACTGCACAGCTGGCCTGGTGGGTCTGGGTAACACTTTGGTTTCCAGCCTTGCTCTCTGGGGTATGCAGAGGCAGGGCCTCTCAGAACCCAAGTTGCACTTTCTGTACTTATCCCTGTTATTTATTGTTTGTTTGTAAGCAACCTTTAAAAAAGTGTTGAAATGCAACAAACATATCGTCAAGTGCACATATCTCAAGTGCACAGCTCAAGATCAAGGTAGAGAACATTTCAGCACCCTAGAAAATTCCCTTTGGCCTCTCTAGATGCACCAGGGCACCCACTATTCCGACCTCCATCATGATCGGCTTCACTTGCTTTTACTCACCTTTTAATTCAGAACTTTTGTTAAATAAGAAAATGGAGAGCTACCAGAAGTTCAATGGCAACCTCTACAACTTAGTTATGTTTCTGAACACCAACTTTTAAAAAATGTGGTGGTTATTATACATTTTTAAATACATATGTGACCTCACTCTTTGCTCAGCAAACTGTCAGGAGTCCCACTGACTACAGCTGGAAGCCAAACCCTTGGCTGACTTTACAACCCTCCCAGGTTTGGCCCCACTTACATTTCTAGTCTAATGTTTCACTCCACCCATGATGCAATCCTTCCCATCGTTCTTCTCCATGGGCACACCCAGCCGTATCGCCCCTCTGAACTTTTTGCTCACATAAACAGCCTCCTCTGCCCGAAATGCCACCCGCCCCCTTCTTCACATCTCTAAATCATTCATGCTTTTCAAGGCATAGCTTAGAAGTCCCTCCTCCTTGAGGCCCCTCTTCAAACTGGAAGTGACCTCTCACTTACTAGCAGCTTATCCATTCTTGTCTTAAAGCACGTAGCGCATCCGACCTCACAGCAGAGGCATCTGGTCGTCTCCCAGCTGGACTCTGACCCACAAGGCAGGATTTATACACGTCACACGAAGCATCTTTGATTTCCCACAGCATCTAGAATATATTAATGAGTAATGAACCAAGGGTGCCAGAGTTCAGAGCATGAGTAATGCCCTGACGAATACCGTTCTGGAGACTCTGAGGCATGAAATTTAAGAATGGGAGAGAACAGGGAGCTTTACGGTGGTGTGGGAATGAATGACCTTAAAGTGGGACTCGGGGGAGGGCGCATAGGAAAAGATAAAGAGGAAGAAAGAAATGCTGAGATTGTGGGAAAGAATGGCAGGCTGCCCACTCAGCTGAAGGGGAGGGAAGGGCGAGACACGGCAGTACCCAAACTCTCCACCCTCTCCCAAAATTCTGATTCATGTGAGACCCAAGCACAAGGCCCAGCCCTTGCTCTGCTGGTGACTCCGTGTGGGGGTGGGGAGAGGAGCAGCTAGAGAAACAAGGGTGGAGTAGCAACACAGATCAAAATGTGAAGTTAAATAAATGAGAATCACAAGAACATGCACGAATGGGGTCACTTCCTCAGGGGTATTGGGAAGCAAAAATGCACTTTTACTATCATAAGTAGCTTTCTTTTTTCCTCTGAAAGAAGGAACACCCATTTCAAACCAGGAAATGCAGTGGGTCTTGGGATTGAGACGAAGTATGACTTCTACCCTCAGGAGCTGGGACCCTGAGGCTGTAGGTGGTTCCAAGGGGAATGTCTGGCCGGGTGCGAAACCCCGTCTGGATGCTGCACTCCAGCACTATGAAGACACCTTGAGAAAGAGGCTATGTCACCTGCCACCTAAAGGCAGGCTTGTGTAGCTGGAGCGCCCCTACACTGGATGTGACTGCACCTCAGCACACCCCTCTAGAGGGGAAGCACTCTCCTTCCCTCTGCCTCTGGAGAAAATGCCGTCCCGCTACTGTGATGTGGCGCATCTCGAGAACCAAAGCACTTTCTTCAGGGGTCAAGGTCCCCTGGTTTCTAGGACACCATATTTTGGTGAGAGTGGCATCCAGGTCACCACTGTGTTTACGGTAATAGGTTAGAAAAAGCACAGAGCTGTGGCGTGGTAACTGTTGAACTTTACAGCCCCTGTTGTGGAAGACAGCAGGGAGACAGAGGGCTGGAAGGGGTCGATTGTGCATTCTCTGTGGCTGCTGTGACAAATTTACCACAAAGGTGGCAGCTTAAAAATGCAAAGTCAGGTCAGAGGTCTGGAGTGGACTCACAAGACCAAAATCAAAGTGTCACCAGGGCTCTTTTCCTTCTGGAAAACCCATTTCCCTGCCTTTCCAGTTTTCTCCTGCATTCCTTGGCTTGTGGCCCCTTCCTCCACCTTCAAAGCCAGCATGTAGCATCTTCAAATCTTTCCTGTCTTTCTCTTCCACACTTAAAGGACCTTGGCAGTTATACGGGGCATATCTGGATAATCTCATTTTAAGATGTGTTGTTTTGCAATCTTATTTCCACGTGCAACCTTGATTCCTCCTTGCCAAATAATATAACATATTTACATGTAACATAACATGTCTCCCCTAACCCAGGGATGAAGATGTAGGCATCTTTGGGGGGGGGGTCTTAGTCTGCCTATCACAGCTAGCAAACAAAGAGGGTTTGCCAGGGGGACATGGGAAAAGAATCCTCATCCTTATTTTTCTTCTACTATTCTCATCAGATAGAAAGATCACTGGACCCAAAAGAGAAAAATCAACACTGGTTGGAACCAAAGCTCAAGATGGGTGAAGAGGCAGCATAGCTCCAGGCTCCCAGATCAGAATGGAATTTACCCCAAGACACTGAGAATTTAGAAATAAGATTTCCAAACTGCCCAAGGAGAGTTTTGAAGACTCATGGACACTAATCGGCATGTTAGAAGACTAAAGATGGGCAAAACAATGCACTAATTTTAAAAGCGAAACTATAGATTCCCTAAACTATAGGTGGATGAGTTCAACATTGCTTCTGAAATCATTTTGAATGAAGCATGAAAAAGAATGTTTTACAAGCACCTAAAAGGGGTTATTGCGATTAGGAAACAACATGGATTCACTGAGAACAAATAATATCAGATAAATCTCCTTCCCTCCATTGACATGGTCTTCCCCTGGCGGGTCTAGAAGGAAGATAGACATTGTGCATCACCAACTATTAGTACCGTACAGAGCTTTCCTAAGGCAGAGGCTGCATGGGGTTCATCTGCATGTCATCAGGCTGTGCTGGATGGAGTTGGCCCAGGCTGACTCACGAGCTGAGTGTGCAGTTCTCGTCCCAACTCCATCCACACATTTGGTGACATCACAGTGGTAGTTTGAAATCTGCCATTTTTGAAGTAGTTCTACAGTGGGAATCAGCAAACATTACAAACCAGGGGTTGTTTTTTTTCCTGGGTAGTTGGTTGTTAAACACTTACCAGCACAACACTGACTGTGCTCTCCGCATCCGGTGCAGTGCCGAGAAACAGCAGGTGCTCAACAACTGTTGTCAGACGGGACAAGGAACTTGAACATGAAACTTGACAAAGTCTCCCACAATATCACTGTGGTCAAGAAGGGACCTCTTAATGGGATGCCAGTGCAACAAAAAACCAAAAGACAAAAATAGAAAGAAAGGAAGGAGGGAAGGAAGAAGGCAAAAAGGAAGAAAGATCTATGTCAAGTTGGTAGGAATTTTCTACGAGTTGATTCAAGAGCTCTGTCCTCTGTCCTATGAATCTGGAGTCATTTTTATATCAACATGAGAGAATGAGTGTGTCGTTTCATACAAAGAAAACTTCACCATCACCACCTAGAACGATGAGGGGAACCTAGTAAGATGAAATTTCATAGGCACAAATGTAAGGTCTTGTTCTTGGATTAAGCGAGAACTAAAATGATAAAACACACTATGCAAGTACAGAATAGGGTAGGGATGTAAGAATCTAGCTTAGCCCTGGCTGGCATAGCTCAGTGGATTGAGTGCAGACTGCGAACCAAAGCATCGCGGGTTCGATTCCCAGTCAGGGCACATGCGTGGGTTGCAGGCCACAGCCCCCAGCAACTGCACATTGATGTTTCTCTCTCTCTCTCTCTTTCTCCCTCCCTTCCCTTTCTAAAAAGAAATAAATAAAATCTTTAAAAAATAAAATACTGTTAAAAAAAAAGAAGAACCTAGCTTAGCCATGTGAGATGTGAAAAATGAGTCTGATTTCTCCCAACTGGTCAGATGATGACTTGAAGCACTACGTCCGACCCAGGCACTACGCAGTTGAGTGCTCTGAGAAGAGTGACTGGAGTGACGGGAAACACAAGCATCGCCTTGGGAGGCGTGATAGAAGAAACGTGGAGCTTCTTATCGGAGAAGAACAGACTCAGAGGAATATGAGGTTGACACCAAATGTTGGGATGAGTATTACAGAGACAGCCATCACCCTGCCCATCTCCAAGGGGGCACCATTCACGCTGTAGTCTAGGCGAACACCAACACCCAGAGCTGAGCAGTGCATGTCTGCACAATCGGAAGTGCTACTCCTGCATGTGGACAAGAGGTTCCTATTCCAAATAGTAGAAGCCCCAGAGAGTTGTATTTCAGCTCAGTTTCAGTGAGAAGCTCAGAACTCCTGAAGAGGACTTTTCTCTTGCCTTGGATAGAGATGCAAAGCAGAAGCTGGGTGACCATATATACATTTTGGATGTGCAATAGGGGATTCTGGCAACCGAAGAGCAAAAGGAGAGAGTTATTTGGATGACCTTTAACATTTTTGCAATTCTGAGGGTCACTAATCCCAGGGATAGAAACTACCACTTAGGGAGCTTCTACCTGCTCTACACCAGCCTACCAAAACCACCCTACCAAATGGATATCATTATCTTTAATTTACAGATGAAGAAACTGATACTTAGAGCTTATTTGTTCATGGTCATCCAGTTATGAAGTAGCTTAGCCAGGCTTTAAATCTGGGAGTACGTGACTTCTTGATTCTTCCTGGATCCCTGGGGGTTGGGAGGTCTAACCACTCCACACACCCCAAGACAATTGGGCAGCAGGGTGACCAGAGTCGATACCAATTTATGGTCCAGGGACTTGTGGGAGGAAGCTCACTGAAGAGAACATGAAACCGTAGCTGTGGGTGCTATTGACTGGCCAGGGTGGCCACGTCCTACAAGTAGGATGTCATACCTTTCCGGACCTGACTTTGCTGGACTGGACACTTAGTTTGCTCCTTCCCTGGTGCTGTCCTCATAAATTCATAATGCCCTGGAGAACATGCAGATGCTCAGAGAAACATCCTTCCTGCCTGAATGCCCCTCTTCGGATTCACGGACGTGAGTCAGAAGTCCCCTTATCTCGCCTCCTCCCCTAAGATGCTGAAATGCAGGTCTTGATGGTGACTCTGTGGGGTCACAGTGCCCGGAGTGTTTGCGTGGAGCTACCGACAGACAGGAGCAAGTTCCCAGGAGCTTCCAAGCAGCCAGCACGCCAGGAAGCGAGCTCTGTGACTCATCCGTTCATTATGCAACTCGGCGACACTACCACACTTGGGTGTCCACGGTGTGTCACCACATGCCAGGGCCACACCTCTCCCCCGCTGGAATAGCTTGCCCGGCTGGCTCGTGAAGCATCAGAAGATATTTGTTGATTTGGAAGGATCCGTGCCTCTTCCATTACCCAATGAGCTCTGTCACGGCTGGCATTTCTATTTGCTCATAGTTCCTCAGTGTGAGAATTTGGCTGTGGGCTGATGTTGTGTCTTAGGCAATGACTTTGAATTTCTCTGGAGCCACCCCTGTTGACATGACTGGTATTCACACCTAAGATTAAAGTCTACTTCCTATCAGAGGGCAAACACCTGACCTCACAATGAACACAGATCTAAGTTTTGGTCAGAGACTCAGAACTCTGTGTCTTGTAAGCTCTCAAAGGCACCATTTGCTCTGACCTTGCTATTCTTCTGTCTGAGTTTTCTCCGCGCCATCCAGGCACTCCAGACCCCACCATTGTTCTGCCCCTGTGGATTCTTTACATGTCAATGAAGTTACCACAGAATCACACCAATTGACACTGCAAATAAGGGAATAATAAAAAGCACAGGACAGCTTGTCCTACAATAACACAGTAAGGGAAATGCTCTCTCTGCCCAATTACCAGGTCCCCTTAAATGAAAAGCCGCCATAACGTGTGGTGGGAACGATGGAAAAGAAGTTGGTAAAAGGCAGCGAATGTCTTTATT